TGACTCATTTTGGCCACATCAACAGCGCGGCCACAAGCTGAATTGGTTTTTTTAAAATCATTGTCTAATTAGTCAGGATTTCACATCTAATTAGTTAGGGTTGTTAATCCTAATTAGTTGGGGTTGTCAACCTTATCTAATTAGAACTACTTCAAAATAGTCAGAATCGCTAACCTCAACTATTTCGCAGAGACTTCATCCAAAAAATTAGGAAAGTTTTTATAATAGATGGGGTTAGGAGTTGCTAACATAAGTAAAAAAAATAGTCGGAGTTGCTAACATCGACTAGTTTTTAGTTATATACACTGCTAATCCCGACTCCCTTCTCATTTCTCTTTCTCTCTTCTACTCTGACTCTCTCTCCTACTCCAACTTTCGACGAGAACAAAGATTGCTAGGTGATCTGTAGCGGGTCTCTAGGGGATCTTTCGATTTCTATCACTCCTACACCAAAGTAATTTCTCTTCTTTCTCTCTTCTTCAACTTTTAAATATAGGATTTTTCTCTCTTCTTAAATATTTAAATCTAGGGTTTGAAATTGGATATCAATTAGATATCTTTTGTGGTGATTGTGATGTAGCAGGCTTTAATTGAAATTGGAATTCTAGGGCATAGCATGCACATATTGGGGGTTGAGGGTTTTCATTTATTTTATAGGGTTTTGATTAAAATTAAAGTTATAGGACATATATTTTCTTTAAAGTTTTTTGCATGTGTTATATGGATTATAAGATTGTATGAAAATGATATAGTCTATTTTTTTTGAGAGGTTGAACAATATGGCTCTTATTGTTTGTTCTTACAGTGGAAAAAATTAATTACGGAATGAATAACATGCCTATATATGTTGGAGGGGCAAAGGCACTGTTAATGATCTCAAAATCATGCAGTTTTGATGGCTTAATTAAAGAATTATACCAAGTTATAGAAATTGATCCACGAGAATACTGACTGAAAGTAATATGCAATTGGCCCATAACTTTTGACAAAACTTCCATGGTTGAGATCTCAAATGATCTTCACTTAAGTATTATGTTTCCATGTGTTTAATTTGAGCAAAACATAACTAATGGTAGAATTGTTTATTGAAAAGTTTCCACTTAGTTCAAGCGAAATGTTAAAACCTCCAGGAGACTTCTCACGCATGTTAGACTTAGGAGTTGTCTCTGATGGTTTTCTTTTTATCTCCAAATGAAATGGAGATGACTTAATTTGAATACTTAAGTTGACCTTCATTTGGGGGAATGTCAAGTGCCATGAACAATGAAGCGCCCTATCAAAATATGAGGCCGTTAAGAGGAGCGTCAATTGAAGAGTATGAAAGAAGTGGCGACTCCCAAGGTGAAGAATAAGATAGTGTACTAATTAATAGCATGCAATTTGTGATTCAAGATGTTGAAGAGAACCCGAGATGGCCTGATGAGGCTTTGTTAACAATGAATATGTTGACTACGAAGAGCCACCTCTTAACGAGTGTGAAGATAATGAGTGAATCCATCTTCTACAATAGAAAATGTTGGCATTAGCCAAAGTTTAAAGGGCGGCAGAGATAAGAACTTCACTTTTAAAGTTAGAGATTTATTCGAGATTGAAGAGCAATTAGTTGATGATATTCATGATTACTCTATTAACGCCAGCGTCAAATTCAAGCAAGTTCATATGGATCTAACAAATTTCTAGGCAATTTTTTATCAATACAAAAAGAAAATGTCAACAGATTGGAAATGTAGCTAATTATGCATGTCCTTGGAAGTTATATTCATTTGCCAAAAAACATAATGGGCATTTTAAAATCACAAAGTATTACAAGGTTCACGCATGTAGCAATCTGATCTTGGAGTTGAATCATAGGGGTGCATCTGCCTCTTACATAGCTCAATTGTTTATGCCAAAGTTAAGGAAGAACCCTGATCTAAATCCAGGTTAGATAACTAATAGGGTTCTAGATATGAGGTTTATTGAAATATCATATAGCAAAGTATGGAATGCGCAAAGAATCATGATGACAAAAATCTTTAGTGATTAGGACAAGTCTTATGCGATACTTCCTCATATCTTGATGTGATCAAAAGAATCAATCCTTGGAACTGAATACAAACTTATAACCAAAGTGATTCATCCGAGAATTGACTCTTGTATTTTGGGCATTTGGTCCTTCGATGGAGGGATTTAAATTTTGTTGGCTGATTCTTAGCTTTGATGGCACACACTTATATGGTAAATACCAAGTGTATTGCTTGATGCTACAAGAGTAGATGCAGTAGTGGCTTATTTTCTTTAGCTTTTGCGGTTGTGGAGGTCGAGAACAGTGGAAACTAGGAGTGATTTTTTGCTTATATTCAATTATATATTCTTAGTGTGCCATCTCCTAGGAAAATTACTTTCATATCTGACAGGATGAAAGATATTCCTAAAGCATTGCATAAGATATTTGTTTCTCATTATTGTCACCGATATTGCTTAACACGCATTAGAGATAACTTTAAGAAGAGGCACGAGAAGATGCATTTACAAATCTTCTATGGCAAGCTGGTTGTGCACCAGAAACATGTGTGTATGATCGGATAAGGGATCAAATCAAGGCAACATCCAAAGCTACATATGAATTGAGAGCAATTTGAGAAGTGAATACGTCGACCGGTGGGCACTAAGTAAAAACGGAGTTTGTATTATGACAACTAACTATTATGAAAGCTTCAATGGTGTACTTAAGGGAGCTCGAGCGATACTCATACAAGCATTGGTTGCAAGGACATTTTATAGACTTAATCAATGTTTTGTCAAGCAAAGGTTACTCGATTTTCTCTCGATGATTGGCAAGCTATAGACAAATACATTCATTCTTACACTGTAAATTTATGTGGAACGATTGTGCATGCGCATGCAATATATCACAATTGTAAAAATTACCTTATTCACATGTTATAGCAGTGTCTTCCAAGAGATACGGGGGTGCAAATACACACTACACATACTTCCTAAAATGGTATCAATCAAGTCATTATAGAGATTCACACAAGACATATCTCCTTTTAATTCTAGATAGTAGTCATATAACAGGCTGTATGTGTTACCTCCTAACTATAAGAGACAAACTAGATGTCCACGATTAGTACGCATAAGAGGTATGATGAATGAAAGACATGAAGGAGCTCCAAAGAAAAATAAGTATAGATATTTTAAATAATCGAACCATAATATATCTCGTTGCCTTACCAATCCGAATAGATAGCAATTAATGAGTAAATTTTGTTTAATATATTTATGTATTTTGTAAGTCAATGCGTACTCTCATATTATACTCTCACATAACTGCACACATAAATGTATATTCTCATTTATGTGTGATTACTCTACATCTTTTATTTTATGTTTAATATACTATATGTAATTTCTAACTCAACATATATTGTAACATAATATTGACACGTTTTATTCTATATGTGGACATATACATCATGCAGGTGGGACCAATGACTTTTGAGGTCCTATATGCGACCAAGATCAACACTGATCCGCGAAGTTAGAGTTAGTGGAGATAAAAATTTTAATATTTTCAATCACTTTATGTTTTCAATCATTTTATATTTTCAATCTTTTTTTATTTCGTATCATTGGTGGATCTAATGTATATTACTTTTGTAATATATGCAGGCCCATGATATTACTATAATTGATCACACTCGTGCACATTAAGGTTGGGATTTGACGGATCCACGTATTCAAGACTATGTTCATCAAGCAGGCTTTTTTAAATGTTCAAAGGTATCGATGGATAAGGCTCGATTGGCCTCTTTTGATAGCTTTGATTTAATGATGGCGGCCTAAGACAAACATATTTGACATGTGATAAGGAGAAACAACTATTGCTTTGCAGGATATAGGGCTTATACATGGCCTTAATGTTGATAGGAATGTTGTTTATAGGTACCAATGACTTTAATTGGATAGGAGAGTGTGAATGTTTATTGGGACAAGCTCCTAACATGAAGGGTCGCAAGATTAAGCTAGAGTGGCTACGTCAGAACTACATGAATGTACAGATGAAGGGCACAAATGAGATCATCAATACATATGCTTGGGCAAATATAATACATATGATAGACACTATTCTATTTCTAGATTCAACTAAGGATTCAGTGCACGTTAGATGGTTGCCACTTCTTGAGAATCTTGAGGAGTGTGGAGAATTATCATGGGGGAGTGTAATGCTAACCTATCTCAATAGGGAGATGATAAAAGTGGCATTCATGCAAAATAAGGAATTCGAAGGCTGCATCACTTTGTTGCAAATATGGTCATGAGAACAATGACATATTGGACTACTAGATTCGAAGGAGACCCGAGTTCTTGATGGTTAGATACCATTAGGATGCATGTATATGAGTTTATAATTTTATGTAATTTCTAATATTTATTTCAATCTATACTAAACTTTTATATATCAAATAGATAGAATATATCCATATATTGGAAAAGGTCCTCAAAGGTCACAAAATTTTTTACTGAAATGAACTTGATCAAATGAAGAATAAACAAGTATAAAATCATAATATCTAATAATAATCAAGTAATATATCAAATGTTACTGTTATGTAAAATTTATGTAATGTTTTTTATAGGCCAAGTGGATTCCCTACAAATAAGTTTTAGCTTCACTACCAGATATTTACACAGATGATGAAGGTATATGGCTTGCCAGTGTCCCGATCATATACTTTGAGATTGTCGAGATGCACATGTCTGATGATGGGCTTTGACAATTTGGATTAAAACAATACATTCTAGATCTTATAGAAGGAATAGAGCAATATCCATAAAAGGGAGCACATCATGAAAATTGGTAGATAATTCACCAATCGTACATTGAGGATTGAGCTTTGAGGGAGAGAGGGTGCTATAGTGATAGAGAGAGGTGACGTGCCAACCTAGATGTGTATATATGTTGGTATTGGAGGATTACTCTCCAATGGATATTTAAGAAGAACAAAGCATCTTCCATGTACATGCTGAGGAGTCCAATTGAGAGAATGTTGGTAAGTAGATACAAAATCTACACTTATTTTGTAATTATTATTTTTTTCATAATTAATTTGCTAATAATTTCCTTCCAATTATTATTTTGTAGGTAGAAGAACTCAATGAGGTGACTTCTATTGCACATGATACCTTAAGATCGACTACCGAGCAAGGAGCAAGGAATACATCGTATGCACTATAAGGAAGATTCAGTCAGCTACACAAATCATGATGGACATAAAAAAGGAGTCTTAGTTTACGAGCATTGATGGTTGTGAGGACATACTAGGGTGGGCTCAAGTCGTGCACATGATGATGCCCGACTTTCATAGCGAGTTCGACTAGAGGAGAATGTCATGCATTTCCAACTTCACATACAACCGAACGATGAGATTATCCAAGCTCATGTTGAAGGGAAATGGAGATGAGTAAGAAGAAGGAAAGGAAAAGGAGAGGGAAGGAAAGAAAGGAGTTCTTTCTAGTTGTTGAATTGGGTGACAAGTACTTTTTATTTTTGTCATGAAATCGTATGTACATTGAGATTGTTGTTTTGTTGTTAGTGGTTGTTTATTTCATCATGTGTGATTGTTCATTTAGTCAATATTATATATTTTTTCATTATATGAGTTGGTATGTGTGTGTTTTTATCGAATTGGTTTGGACTAAATATAATGTAGCACGAAAATTTCTCAATATCAAGGGCAAAAAATCCAAGTTCTCTGCAAAATAGTTGGGTTGTCAACCCAACTATTTTTAACACTTAGAAAATTTTGAGTCAAAATTTGGTTGTGGGTGTGAAGGTCTCTGCAAGATAGTCGAGGTTGTCAACCATGACTATTTTTAACACTTAGAAAAAATTTTGAGTCAAAATTTGGTTGTGTATAAAGATCTTCGCAAACTAGTCGGATTTGTTAACCCCGACTATTTTTAACACTTAAAAAAAATTTGAGTCAAAATTTATCTTAGGGTGTGAAGGACTCTGTAAAATAGCCGGGGTTATCAACCCTAACTATTTTGAACTTGCTTAAAAATACAGTTCAAAATAGTCTGGATTGTCAACCCCAACTATTTAGAATCTAGGTCCTAATTAGTCAGGGTTGTTAATATCGACTAATTAGATAATGACATTATTCTAAAATTGACTCAGTTTTTGGCCAAGCTACCAACATGGCCGATACTGGGTCAATTTTTGTAAATATTTTTGCATCAGGTTAATTTTAGCTAATAAAGTTTCAAATAGTCTAGTTTGAAAATTTCTCCGTAATAATCCGGATCTATTCGAATTTATCTGAATACATGCTTTTGGTCGTATAGTTACAATTATTTTAATCTTCATTAGATTGATGGGTTGAGATTAATTTTGATGATCACTAGATTTAATCTTAATATAGACGTAACAAACATACCCATATCAAAAAAATAACAAACATAGTAATGAACTCTCTTCTATCATATGAGTTATATTGTTTCCAATATCATAATGGTTTTCTCATACCTTTTTTGTATCTGCATGTATTTTTGTATCGGATTTTAACGGATATAGATATGAGTTTTTCTTACCTAAACATATATGTATATGTATATGTATTCATGATTGATAAGCGAATATGGATATTGTGAGTTCATATTTGAGTCATATCATTTGCACACCTACTTATGTGCATCTAACAATATTAGGGCATATTTGTTTGCACAGAAGAAACTAGAAAGTAATTGAAGTGAATAGATTAAATGCTACTTCTCAAAAAAAGACTATTTTTTTGGAAATATCATTTCATCTACTTCCGACATTGCTGATGTAGCGCTTAGGGCCCGTTTGGATGACAATGTTGGGTCCTGTTGTTTTAATGATGATTTACAAATAATTTACATTTAATGTTGTTTGTCTAGTGTTTGTGTTTTGTATCTATTCTAGGCAAACAACATGTTGGAGGATGGATGGAATCGAGCTTTCACGATCATATCCAATGGAGGTTGGCGGAATAGTAAAATAAAGCAATGAAATTCAAGTTGAATATCCAAGTTCAAGCTTCATCCGCAAGTGTACCAAGTTGAGCTACATCGAAGATCAAGATTACTTGGGTAATTTAGTTTTAGGTTTATATTATTTGTGTTAGATACTTTAAGCTCAATATTATATACACACATACACGTTTTGGTTTTATATGATAATTTAATATAATATAAATTTTCGAAAAAAAAAAAAAAAAAAATTATTATACTGTACATATATATAAATATATATAATATATAACATAATAATATCATATATTCACTATACCTATAATTATCTACATAAATATTAATTGTAAGTCATCTATATAGGTCTAAACCATACATTATAATAATGATATAATATACAATATATGATACCTTTATATACTATATACCATATATATAGCTCATATAAGTACATATAATATATTATAATTATACTACATATATATAATATATACTATATACACTATACCACATATATCATATATTATATACCGATATATACATATCTTATATATACCTACGTTGACTCTATAATTATAGTATAAAAATTCCTATACACTATATATATACTATATAGTATACTATATAACAGTACATGCAGTTCTATCAATATATACTTATATACTACCTATTATATACGTACGTATACTACTTGAGAGTACGTATAGTATATATATATATATTATAATTATAATATTATATATATACATACATGTTTTGGTTTTCATGTTTATATAAATATGAAATTACATATTTCATACTTATTGTTAAATTTTGGTTTAGCTTTGTAGATATGAAACAATAGTTATATTCATATGCACTTTCATGTTTCATATTTATCCTTTTATAAAATGCATATTGTGCAAAACTTTATTTTTGCATAATATTGAGTTTTTGGTTTATAGACTTAACAACAATAGTTTGTATCTTTTATCAAATCTAAGTCTATAAAATCAGTTTATAAAGTTTCAAAACATGGTTTAGCTAAAATATCAAAAACATGTGTTTTGTATTTTCATGTTTTGAACTAGTTTTGAAAAAATGATGAGTTTTCACAAATATGAAGTGCAATTCCAAAAATTCTTTTTGTAACATATTCATTAATATGTTTATAAACATTTCCTAAAGTTTTATATTTTTTGGAATTTATTTGCTATTTTATAGGTACTTCAAAAATTAATTTTACTATTTGATTCAGGCTGATAACCTGTTATCAATTGACTGGTAAGTCGACTGATGACATTAGTCGACTGATGTGTCGAATGAAGAATATGCCTGGAATCAGTAAAAGTTTCTATTTTATTTTGGTCGACCGACCAGTCGACTGATGATTCATCAATCGACTGATAAATGTCGTCAGTCGACTGATGAGCTGGAAAATGCCTCTAACTGTCAGCTCATCAGTCGACTGATGAAAGCCGTCAGTCGACTGATGAAAGCCGTTAGTCGACTAATACTGTAATGGCTAGTTTTTTTTCCAGTCTGTTCTAGTTTTGGGTTTTTGGTATTTTTGCTTTGTTTTTCTTGTGGTTTGGGGTCTCTATAAATACCCCACATACCTTAGACTAAAAACTAATCAAGAAAGTTTTTAAATAAGTTTAAATGGTGTATAAGTTTGTTTTAGTGTTTGTTTCAAGTTTAGTTTGTGAAGCAATTTTCACAAGAGCAAAGAGAAGATCATCCTTTGGTGTTTGAGCATTCACTCTTCTCTCTCTCTCCCTCTTGTCATTTATTGGAGAAGTTTTCTAAACTCAATCTAGCTTTACATTTATATATAATTATTTGATTATCATTTTTCTAAGCTAGAGTTTATATTAAGTTTAGTTTGATTTTGATTTATTGAGTCTCATTGTTACACACACCCACTTGAGTTTTAAGAATTTACATACATAGTATAATTTGGGTTGTGAGAGATTGTAACTTTGAGTTGTGCTTAATTGAGTTCTCGCCTTGTTTAGAGAACAATCATTTGTTGTGAGCTATTATTGTGAGGTTCACTTTGTATTACTCTAGTACACCAAGAGGAGTGTGCGATGAGAGACGGGGTCGTCCCAAGAGGAGTGGTGTAGGTAGTAATGCCTAGAGATGGGTTGTAATTCCTAACACTTGAGGAAGACACAGGCTAGAGACCAACACTTGAGGTGGTAGTTAGTGTGTTTACATTGTGAGTGATTATAAAGTTTTTGGTGAACTAGAAAACCGTGTGTGAGGTGTAAACGTTATTTGGATGAGCGTAGAAAACCCGGTTGTGATAGTGGAGATCTCCTCGAGGTGAGGAGCGGAGACGTAGGTCGTGGGGACCGAACTTCGTTATCATATCGTTTGTTTGTGATTGCATTAGCGCACTTATTTTTGTGTTCATATCTTATATCGTCTTTGTCTATTGCTTATTGTTTATATTCCCACTATCTTGTTTGTGTTCATATTGCCCTTGGTTTATTATCCTTGCATATATATTGTTCATATCTTATTTGCTAGGATAATTTGTTAATAAGTTTTAATTTAACATAAAATCGGACTAGATTAGCATAAACCATATTCACCCCCCTCTAGGGTTCTTTCCTAGTGGCATTAGGTGCTTTCAGACAAAGAGTACTGAAAGTAAGAAGTAGATAAAAAAAAGTAACTTCTAAAATTACGAAGTTAGAAGTATGAGAATTACCATTTTTTTGTTTGTTTTGCTCATTTTGGGAAGCAATGGAAGTAGCACTAGATAACAATTGAAATGTTGTTAGGAAGTAGCTAATGCATGGTGTATGTTGGGTATCTACTCAAACTCCAAGTTAGGATAGAGTTTTTAATTCTTTGTATAATTTTATGAGAATTAGATAAGGTTAGGGATCTATCATGATTAAGAGTTTGGGTTCCATCATGATTGGGAGTTTAAATCTTATTCTAATTAGGAAGTAGGCTAGAGATATGGTTTTGGTTTCTCTATATATATACTTGGACAAATTTTTAAAAGCACCCTTTTTTCATTTTTATATAGCAAAATCGACCCCTTTGTTTTTTAATCTACAAAACCGACCCTTTTCAGAAGAAATGGGTCGGTTTTGCAGCGGAGGTCATTTTCGAACTACACGGGACTGCTAGTCCCGTGTAGATCGGCTAAGAATTGAAATGCACGGGACTGCTAGTCCCGTGCATTTGATTGACCCCATTAGTTTTTAACGTCGAGTGAAAATTCC